CTCTGGTTGGCTATTACACAAAATAATCCCTGGTGCAACAGGTGTTGGAGAGAAATGTAGTTTTAATGGTCAAGTTGTAATCCAAGTGCCAATTCACACAATCCAAATGTCCATTAATACAGTACTTATACAATATAAGTAATTACCACAAGCTTTTAAACTTCAATCCTGTGATAGAACTCTATTATCTTCTCTCGTCTAGTTCTGCTTCTCAAACTCTGGTAGATCTGGCCTTTAATCTTCGAAAAACAATAAGCGGAGGCAGCACAGCTCAGGAGTATGCATTTCCGTAGCGACACTACGACAGCTAATAACTGTATATTAAATCCGCATCAGAATGATTCCGAAAACACGATTCCGGAAACTGAATCTATTATGACTAAGATTCAGTATATCCTTAAAAATTCAAACTTCGACATATTCAAAATCTTTAATTTTATTAATTTTCCTTTCACATTAAATGAACCTCTCAAATTCCAAAAAATGTCAGTTCTCGTCCTCGTTATGACGAAATGTTGGATAACTAGCTATTCTTTTTTTTACGCAAGATTCCGTCCATTTATATAAATGGTCGTAAAGTCTTTTACAAGATCTCTCAATCCTTACAATGTTTCTCACGTATGCCCCACATTTAGAGATACCGCGTCTCAGAAGTCCAAGCTCCTTCATATCCTGTCCAACTGTTGACGAACCTTCTCCGGAGGGCCGATCAAGGCAGAAGAGTTGGGAGTGACGCTAGAGCGTAAACAGTAAACAATCAAATTCAAATAGATTTTCAATGAACCGAAAGGTTTTTCAATGTGTGAAAATAGCGATTGTCGATAATTAGGCTAATTAATACTAAAATATGATCCATTTTAATTAATTCGCGAATATTTTACTAAGTTGCAGCAGAAAATATCGTGTGCCAATCCACAGAGTGATGTGTAGATCTTAAATTAATACGCTTTTATTCTTTATTGATGAGCATGCCACCACGAAAATCAAATTCAAATGAAATGTCAATGAAAGAAAATTAATTATTATTTTTATTACTTTTAATTACTCGCTCAAAGAGATGAATTGAGCCATACACGTTTTTTCTTCTAGCCTCAATTCATTTTCAACTGATGAACCAACTACCGTTTTTTTCAGCTACATTTGTGCCATTTTCACATCACAGAGTTAAGCACAGCTATCTTCGCCATTTGAAATATAATTTGAGGTCAACTATCACGATAAATTATTCCCCGAAGGAAACAAAACTCACTGTACAATGTCAACTTTTATGAAGAGATTTAGAAGACAAACTGTTGAATGCATGTCAACTTTTTACAATATCGTGCAAAGCACGCATATCGCGAACATAAAATTACGAATCCTCATGGAACGGGAGTTTCAAATGAAAATAGTCGCGGACACGCACCATTCTTGCAGTTGGCACACAAACGAGTACTTCCTTGTAACTGTTATCTCTACTTTCACTACCCTCTCTCAGAGAGGAATCTTCAAACAAGTACTGCTAAAGTAGAATACGTTACAATACTTTCGAAATTTCTGATACCATTCAATTGCTTGTGCAATGAATTGAGGAATGCGTTTACCTACATTATGTAAAAATATGAAAGAATACATTATCTTTTTGAATATCATTGATCTTCAGCGTTTTGAAACTCAATATTTTCAACACGTTGCGATCAGGGTAGCGACATTGATGCCGATGTTTCTTTAAGAATATCGAGGTTTTAAACATCGATATATTGAAGACTTTTTACTTATTTGTGGATTAAAAAATTAATAAAATCATTTTGTAAAAATTGTAAATACGAAACTAATGGTACAACTGTATGTTCATGTGTTCGAGCTGCACAAACGCGGTTTGTACTACCTTCATCAAGCGGACTATCCTTAGCTAGAAATGATCCTTATACCCTGTTTTTTCCTTCCTCTTTCCTTGTATTTCTCTCATCGACAGGAGTTTTTAAACCGTTTTCAGCTAAATTTCAATTATCAATTAAATTATTACACAGCCAATGTCAAAATTTATTTTGTTGCACACGAATTTATTGTTAGATGTTATTAAACCGGCTCCAAAAAAGCATCGATGTTCAAAAATATTAATGGATTTTGGTCGATGTTTGGTCACATCGATGTTTTGTAATCAATGTCGCATCACTAGTTGCTAATGCAATATATCATAAATATTATGAACAGATATTTTTCAAAACCGAAAATAGGAAACTAGGCATCTAATACAATATTTAACTAACCTCTATCGTCGTAGAAGGTTTTGCACAGGTTTAAGCGTTTATAAATGAAACGTATGTACTCATCTCAGAGTACCGACCCATGCAAATGTGGTCTGGATTAATTCACTTTAAAACGAAACTAGATGCTCTATAGAATGGTACCTGCTTCGTTTTAATTAGTTTCCTAAATCTTCGGACTCTCAATAACTCTCAGGGCTTCTCGCGGTAACTATCGCTCCTCTGGGGTGTGGTGAAGGGCGCCTTCGCGCATCCCGAACTCTGCGCAGACCTATCTCGGTCTTGTACATTCCCATATTTGCTCATGCTATTCCTTGGCCTCAACTCGATGCTTGTGTCATTGTTTTTCAATTAAACGCATACAGAGCACGCAGTTACTTGTCAGGACACAATATCATGGAAGGATTAGGGTATAGATGAAATACACAACGGATGCTCCTACAGCTCCTAATGCTCCTAGAGCCCTAGTACCCATATTGCTCGCCTGTCCCAAATCTTAGAATTTTTTCCTTACTGAAATCATAGACATCTTAAAATAATATCCTGTAAACTTTTTCTACACTATTAGTAGTTTTCGCGTAGTTTTTGCATGAAACATAACCAATTTTTAAACAATTATTTTCTTAAAGATAGTTTCAAATGTAAGTTCGGCTTGTTTAGAGACAAAGAACTCATTTGATATAAGAATATTAAATAGGCTACATAATGGAACAATAAATATTGTTTTACACAATGAGTTACCAGTTTTCTTAATAAATATCACTAATAACTCCAAATTTTTGAATTTGTTGTTGAATATAAAATCGTTCCTTTGAACGCGCCCTCCACGCGCCATAAGAGTAATCACGCGTCAGAAAAGAACGCGGGCAGTGAAAGTTAACAAATCCAAAAAGTTTAACGAACTGTAAATAAAGAAGATGCTGCCTAAAACTATGATTCTTTGATAATTTTTTTAAACCTTCTGAAGCTTCCTCAATTCATTGAGCAAGTATGCAATTAACTCTCTGAGAATGAAGAGGTGAGTCCCAATCCAATCTTCAGATCAAATGAGAAGAATTAAACGATTTCTTTCTTTCACAGTCAACGTTTATATTAATATTACTTTTCAGGCTGACATGTCGTAGTCCACTCGAAATATTTCTTGCAAACGTCCCAACTGCTCCCGCAGCAGACACATTCAGTCTGGGCAACGGATGTAACAACCTCCCAGCAGAAAGGTTGTTTTGTTGAATGACTGAATATCTATGTGTCTGCTCGGAATGTTCATCATATAGACGACGAAAGCAGTCCTGTATGATAACATTTCCCATTTTCACGAATTTTAAATTACTTAAATTATCATGCTAGACCGGAAATCACGAAACAAAAATTTGTGACCATCCTCTACATACCATCTTTTAATTGACTGAGTGTACATTTATATGGAATTTCAAGACTAAAACTTGATACTGGCAACAATTGATATATTTAATACAAAACGTTACACACAATTATATTTATTCGCTGAATACTGAACCAGCGTCATGGCCCTAACGTTTGGCGTGCATGGTTGCAAGTTGTAAAGGGAACAAAATAAATGTAAGAACTCCTTCATCGATCTTTTGTGACTTCTACGCCATTACATGCACTGTTCCTTTTATGACTTGCAGAGATGGTAGTGAAAGTCTTATTTGATTTTGAACTCTACAAAAATGATTAACCGTCTAATTCTAATTGATTTTGCTATTCTCCACTGCGTATTTTTCGGCTACACAGTTTCTCCACTTCTGAAACTAATAAAATTTTAATAGAAGAACAGATTAAAAAGTGCCGTCTCTTGTTTTCGTTTCAGTGCATTTTAAGCCCTACCGGTACCTAAATTGAGTTCAGCAATATGGAGTCGCAACTGATATTATTAGGAGCTTTGAAAATCGTGGGGTTTAAGATCTATTGGGAATCAGAGCTAATTAAAACGAAAAGTTCCTTGACCTCTACAAAGCAATGCCTTCTATTGCGCTCCTAACTAGCTCGATAACACAAATGAATATATAAACATTTCGACGATCTTTTGTCGATCAGAATGATAAGATACAACACTGATCACCTCGGCTTTTAATGTTCTTAAAGATGGAACAAATTAACATGTTACTTTCATCTAGAAATTTCATTCCCACCCCCTTTTCCCAACCCTTTCTATGAAGAAGAAACTAGTGGAAATCTTATCATAGGTAACACCACGAGTGCTTTGGGAATTGTCAATAAATTCCCGACTCGCGAAGGGAGGAGGGGATTTATCTGAGAATTTCCAAAGCACGTGTGGTATTGAATACGACTATTCTACATTGAAATTATGTACAGCAGAGTTCCAAAATACGCCAAATATTGAAAATAACTGAAAGCTATGGTAAAATCAAATAGGTTATGTTATAGTATATACGCGATTTACTGGCCATCGACATAGCTATCGATGTACAATACCACCTAAGAAACTAGAGTCACCGTTTATGATTGACCAGTAGGAAGAAGCTATGAGAAAAATCGGATAGAAAAAGCGATAAACTTTTTGAGATATGCCGCCGTCATTGGGGCATTTTGTACATGTATTTAAACACTATTGGTTTTAATTTCACGAGTGGAATAGTCAATGTAATCCCTTTCGAATGAATTTCAACGGTTAAATGAAATAAACCTAAAAATGATTTCTACTCCCCCTCCACACACACATTAGTACAATAATTACGTAAGACTTCGAAATATGGTTAGTCAAAAGCGATTCTATAAATTAAAATTTTGTAAGTTTTCATCATCAAAAGAAAGCAGGATCACAAAGAGTAACACTGAAAGAAATTAAACAAAATAATAATGTGTTAACATTGAAATAGATTTTAATTTGTTATTCAAAGTATTAAAATCTGTTATGAACAGTTCATTCAATTTGACATTACATGTTACATTCATTTAAAGTGCAAACGATAACTTTACGAAACTCTATAAACAAGTTTTAATATCACGTTTTTGGAAGCCTACAAGTCGTTTCAACTAGGGCAGTCATTTATGGGGAAAACGTATCTGAGAATGTAATTCGGGCATTATGCAAGATTATCATCAATTCAAATAAAATTCAACACAAGTATCAAGTAGCTACACTAATTAAAATTTAGAGGAAAATTTACGGGACTGGCACTCTGAGTCACGCACTGTGATTTCATTGTTTACAACGAGCATACAAATTGTAACTGTATAGTCAAACAGATCCATTAACTGTGTTAAAAACAGAACATTCACCACAATCTAGATTCCCAATCAACACTGTTTTGCTTCCATTAGAATACCAGTAGTGTACAAATCCCTCGTATATTCCTACACATCGGAGCAATCAAATAAATATAATTTTTTCAACTCGCCAACATTTCCAGAGACCAGCAAATTTCCTTCCAAGTGCCCTGTTAAACAACGAAAAGGCTCGACACGGAACTGTCATGCGGATGTCATTTTCGATACGGCGCGTGCGGTTGTGTGATAAGGGAGCCGAGGTGAACCGCATGTCACGGTGATAAGACGCGCGCGGCGGCGCTCCTGCTGCTCAGAACGCGCTCGCGAGAGGCGCCGCGTGTTAGGGAATCCCACCCGGGCACCCTGGGCCCCAAATACTTGTAAGTTTTGTAGGCCCTTAGAAAATAGTTTACAGATATGCGTACGAACAATCGACATAACTAACAATTGACATATTTGGATAAGGCTTATATATTCGACACGTATTGTTAGCAACAGCTTGTCTGCTCTTCTCTTGGCGCGCTTAATACACACGGGGACCCGCGCGTACTTTTTAATTTTGGAAAAATATCAATTTGTACATCTGAAAAAGGAAAGGACGATAAAAATAAAAGAAGGAAAACAAATATTGAAATGATATCACTGTTAGGACGCGTGGAGCTTCAAACCCCCTCTACAGAGGCATAAGCCCCGGAGCGATGTGCCGGTTGCACACACCCCTCCTCTCTATGGGCCTGTACGCACCCCTTGGGCGGGAACTCCACTTTGCGTTTCACTACTGAAGGAGCGAATTCTACGTTTCGTGGTTTCGTTTTCAAAACTTCTCGAATATTTCACATAAGCTAAAAGCATCAGTAGTAGCCATAAAATTTTTTGCGGCTTTCTTAAAAGATTTGCTCTGCAGTACTAAATTGCTTTTGTGAAATTGACTAAAATCCATTGACTTAAATTAGCCGGCTTTCAATTTGCTCTATACGTTGTTAATTTTTTACGAAACCATGATTTTGATTCATTACAACCTACTTGAAAATTGCAAAAGTTTTGTAATGGTCAGTACTTCACTCAGTAATTCGATATCAAAACACTTTTGAGACACGAAACCCAAAAAACTACCACTTCAGGGTACAATATTGCAATGAAATATTAATAGAGGATACGGAAAGTGTGAAGTCAGCTGATTAGAGGTCAGAAACCGTATGTTTTATATTTGCTAACATTCCGGGTAATAGGACAATCATGGATTCTGCAACGAATTGGAATAAACGCCTTTCTGCAATTCTCGTCACAGCTGCGCCAAAACGTGTGTTACAACAAGTTTTCGATAATAGGAGGGAAATAACTTTCATCGAACTGTCAACTTTAACAATCTGATGTACACTCAGAAAACATAACGCATTTAACCTCACGCTCACACAATCAACTATAAGACTGATGGCGACAGCTGCGCGGGAATATGTAAATTCCTGTGTGTTTTCCTGAGTCGACTGTCTGAGCTCAGCGGAGCAAATCCACATTAGACAAGCTGAGCGTGACCGAAAATGTCCTCTTGAACTCGCGATCGTCGGTTTGGCGATCTCTGACGTACATCAAAGCCACGCAACGAGCTTCATGTTCCAAAATACTCTTTCTCTTCCGGAACAACTAGCATGCACAATGCACTTCGCATTCACAATTTAGTCTCGCTATACGTACTCTCATTCTCCTTCATACGCAAAAATTCCGCTGAGACCTATTCAACAAACTAGTTTACAGTTGTGCTCTTACACCTGAGTACGTAAAGACGACCTTCAATTGCACATTGGCGCTTCCTGTTTAGTGTTCGGATAGCGCCACAACTTGTGTTGTCATGCAGACGCCACAAGTGAAACACAGTTGATCTGTTATGTTAATATTTCAAATGAGCGCTCCGCGAACGAATGGCTACACTACTCACGGAGACTTCCGCTAAAGAGGGATGATCTGTGAGTATGCTCATATATTTTTTGCTCATAGTCTTTTGTGTGCTTCTTAACTGATTAGAGACAGCAATTAATCATTATGTGGCATAATAGTTACTTGGAAAATAATTTTTTAAATAAGATGTTAAGAGACCAATGTCGTACAACGTTTAAATCACTCTGTAGTAAGTTAAAAATGGAAACAAACGTTCGTTTAAATATGGCGACTTCTCCCGCGACAGGCGACATACTGATGTTGCTAGTAGTTAAAAAGAGGACCATCGATTAATTCTAATATTAATTTCATTGCGATACTAATTATTGTTGTTAATAGTGGGTCATGGATTATTAGAACCCTTGTGTAATTACGACACTGATTTCGGTTTCATAACGTCTGACTTTATAGTATAACCAAAGTAGATAAATAAATTATTTTTATTTTTATGAATTTGCAGTGATCCCATTATGAACGTTAAAAAACACACACAGGATTAGTTTTAGGAAATGTTCAAAATAATTTCTAAAAACGTGAAAGGCGTCTAAAGACTTTCACATCAACTTATCAGTGGACCGTCATTTCGACGACGCCAGAATCGCCATCAGGGATAGTTTCTTTCAAGCATTTTGTAATAAATAAGACACTCTGGAATAATAGCTTCCACTACTTGATCAGATGTTATAATAATAATAATAATAATAATAATAACAAACACAACAAAAAGATATTTAGTTGATATCTGATATTCATTACCTTTGTTTTAACAAGACACTTGAACAATCCGCTAACTTCCTCTGTCAGACGTTACAATTTGAGCTACAAACAAAAGCGTCTGCCGCGTCTGTTGCCCCAGTCGCTTGTCAACAGATTACGTATTCCAAAGCGCGATTTCGCGCTAGGAAGGTGCTAGAAGGACCTGGAAGCCTATAACGCGAGTAAGCTTAGCGAAGCCTAATCGAGGGCAGAACGCACACGCGTAGTAAAATAATGGCATTATCGCCAGAGGGGTTAAGAAGCTTTTCCCTAGAGAGCCATTTACTTGAAACCTCTTACGGTTTCCCAATCGTGGAGCTTGAGTCGAGGGCTAAACGCATCGAAAGGTTTGGATATTGAAAAGTACACGGTAAAATAATAATAAGTTTAAAACGACATTAAAGGACGACGGCTCACTGTCATGTACAATTAGCCCTCATGATTCCAACATTCGCCTCTGATTTCTCAATCAAGCATTGATGAATGTGAATTTCCCCATTAAACGAAATATCCTCCAAACATGCCAAACATTAAGGCGTCATTCTAATACAAAAGTACAAAAACCAAATGTCTGCTAGTAGTCTTGAAATATAACACTAGTGAAATTATTGTATTTAACGTCTTGCTGCAATTTTATATTAAAATTACGGAAGGGGTCTTTCAAATCACTGATGATTCGAAAAGTCAAAATCCTCGCATTCTATAATGACCACAGGCTTTGAAATCTGTTATCTGCCTGATGAATTTTGGACTCTGGCGTATCCACAGCCGCAGATACGCAGAGTCGCGGACACGTTTTACAAGTAACTTATAGTTTTGCCAAGATTTTAACTTGCCGAATAACTGACTTCGACTGAGTTACTGAATAAATACAAAGGAGACAACTTAAAAGCGCAAGTAGCAACTACCTGGGGGATGAGCGGCACGGGGTGGAGTGGGGGTAGGGCGAAGCAGAGCAGATCTTGTCAGCACTGGGGAAGGAATGGGCGATTTAATCGCAGTTATTACAATATGAAAATAGCCCTCTTACATAAAAAAAAATTAAAAAAAAAAGGCAAAGGAATTTGCCGTCGGTTTATCTTCTTCCGACAACATAAAAATATTAGAGACAAACGTAAGTTATTAATTTCATGCTAGAAGAACTGATAATACGATAAGTCCCTATGCACATTCTGATAGTTTAGTTATGGCATGTTTAATTAATATTCATTATTTTATTACGTAACCTATTATTTTGGTTTGTTTCGTCATATGTATCACTGTACATCATATGTACAAACTAAAAACCAATTATTTTAACGTTTCATGCACTATTTAAAACTTGGGAAAAGTGATTGATTTATTCAAAACGATTACTCGATTCATATTAATGAAAAATTAAATCAATCTATTAATGTTTTAATAATCGGCCATTCCTAGTCCGCATCTTCTACATCCGAGTGTATATTAATGGAGAACGATTGTCTAAATCAGAGAAATATCGTTTAATGAATCTTCACGCTGACAGAGGCAGATACGAGTGATCGTGAGATCATTCTTTTTTCTGAGCATCCCCTAAAGATGTTTTTGAAAGTACGTTAACTTTTCCCACCTGATTAAAAAAAATAGACGGCAGGAAAAAGAAGGAAGAAAAGGAGAGAGAAAAGGAAATAATAGACAAACATGGCATTTTCTTGGAAGTGAAGGGGATATTACTGGGACATTCATTTACAGAACAAAATGTTGATTGCTTTAACAGAATGCCGAGTACATAGTAGCATTCTAAGGGAATGAAACTAATACATAGTTCCTTTGTTTCTTTGTAATCCGCCTCTGAGTGACGAATTCAAGATAGCATTTTGATATTAGTGTCGAACGTAACGAAGAGCCAAGGTCTGACAAATTAGAGGGTGCCAAGCGTGCTTTCGTCAGTAAACTTGCATTATTGTGCTGATTACTGCTTGGCACTTGGAGGCAAATCTCGTCTCGTTTGATTTCGAACAGTCGGGAGCCGAGCTCCAGATGCCAAGATCAGCTAGTGCTACACACCCAACCATCCACCTAGATAAACATCTACATGACAAGAGAGATAGATAGGAAAGTACATATAGGACTGACTGGCAGCGTGAGGGAAGCCGGCGGTTCAAACACAGCGGTCGCGGCGTAGGAACCAAAGAATAATACAGGCAACCAGCGGCAAACTACGTAGGCAATTGAATGCATAAACAACAATACGAAAGCTTTCCTCACAGCTGCAGCCTAACTTGGTTTACCTACAGAGTAAATCCTCAGTCCAGATATGGACCTGGACACTCCATTTGCTGCAAAAACAAAAGGAAGAAAATATATTTTACTAAAGTAATTATCGTATGTCAGTACACTGATTTAGGTGACATTTTTCAAATGTCACCTCAAACATTTCATGATATATTCAAGAATTAAATATCACTTAAAATTCCGACAGTGTTTTGAACATATGAATTAAATATATAATAAGGGAAACAATGTTACTGTTATTATCAAAATAACCATATTTTAATGTGTTAAGTCAAATGGTTGTAATATAAAGCAATCTTCCACTTTCATGAAGTATGTCAGTGCTGCAGATATTAAAAGGTATTTATATAAAAAACAATGAAGACCAATCCACTCCATAATTTAGAAAATGCCCCCATACAAATCACAGATAAGACACCGGCGTATGTCAACAACAAACATCAAACTGAATACGGCCAAGGTTCAACAAAATATTTTGCACAATATCTTTTTCTTCATCAATGAAACACCCAAGATCAAGAATCGATGCACTAATCAACAATCAAACATAACGTTCAGTATTGAAACTTGACACACTAATAAAATTATCTACATAATATTTTAGTGTTATTTGTAGTTTCCAACACGATAACCAGCATTAAGCAAACATTAAAAGTACTGCACTGAAATTTGCAGTCATACACATTTTCATTCATTACTATCCAGGTGTTCATGGACCAAACACTACAACCACCAATAGGTTAACGTAAAAAATCGTTGCTAAGATACACACTACACAATGCTCAACTGTCAAGCTGAGGCCAGATAAACTTTCACTTACCTCTTCTTCTTTGACTGGAACAGGTTGCCATGGATCCTTAAGAATAGCAAGCGGCATATTAATTCCCACTCCAGCACATCCGTACAGCCCAACAAGACTTTGCAAATGATACTGACACACAAGCGGATATTAGTTTCAATATGGCGAAACATACTGACTTGGTACATCTAGCGGCATCTGTGAATGAAAATATTAACTTCTAGAGATTCGTTGCTTCCATTGGTCGCCGCAAGAGGACTGAATAAAGGAAATTGCGCCAATTTGAATTGTAAAATCGTCTAACCATAGGCATATGGCAATCGACTAACCATCTAGGCCTTGCCTCCTAGAAAATTTTGAAAGGGGTTCCATTGCCTACGGTAATAAAACTTTACATTTACTTAAATTGTTTCAAAACTTTTTTTACCCCTTTTTTAACATGACAATTTGGGGAAATATTGTATATTTGGGGAAGAGTCCCCAAGCCAGCCTCCAACCCTTAAAGTTGCACAGAATAAAACAAATTGTATTTTTTAATTATATGATTCAAGTCATTATTTCATTCTCCTTGTATTATGTTTTATTTATTTTATAGTAAAATACAGTCGTATATAAATTATAATGTTTCATGGAAAATAGGACTGGAAAATGTAGTTGCCCCTTCTCTTGTTTAGGCCTCACAGACCTATAAAAGTGGAATACACATTACCCTTAAATTTTTAAAATTTCATTTTACTGTCTTTTTTAACTTTACTAACCATATTATCTACTTCACAGTTTAAAATCATTCAACATGATTTGCCTTTTTTATATGTATTTGCTCATAAATTCCTTGAAAGAAAATGAAAACTATGTTCAGAATCCTGGAAAATACAAGAAACAACCTCTGTCATAAAATTCCCAATGTTTAAGTGCCTATGTATCCAAATCTATACAATTATCAAACTCTGATAGATTTAAATGTAAAAACTTAAATAGTATTACAAAGAAATTCATTAAGATGAATCCTAATATCTAATTCATTAAAGCTGATATAGCCAATGTTGCTATTTATTCACAAGATTAAGTCAAGAAAGTTGAAAAACAATTTAAAGATAATAATAAATATACAATAATTAAGAAAACTAATACTAAAATGGAAATTAGCAACCTACAAAACTTTATTAAAAGATGGAAAATGCATTGGCATATTAATTACAGAGATATCTACCTGACAACTGGTAACATCACAAGTGTGTATGTGCTCGTTAATTTATATAAATTGGACCTTCTTATGGGGCCTGTAGTTTCAAGTGTAGGTACTCCAAACTACTGTATTTGTATAGCTTTGAATAAACTCTGGAAACCAAAATTAAATTCTGACCATGGATATACAGACAGCAATAGCTTTACATTAGCCAATATTAACAATTTTAATGTACCTGCAACCCATACTATCATATCTTTAGATGTTGCAGCAATATTTCCATCTATCTCTCACAAACTGTGTTTACGGTCTTTACAAACTGCTCTTTGTAATGAACGGTGTGAATGCAAATACCTTACAAAGATATAATATTAATTAACAAATACTTATTAAATAATATCACTTTCACTTTTAATGACAAAGCTTACTTACAAATCAATTGTACTTTAATTGGAGGTAGCTTCAGCAGTTTGAATTCCAAAATACTAATGAGAAAATTAGAACAATCAGTTCTAACTACACTTGATGTATTATTATGTATGCCAAAATATAAACCAAAATGTAACATTTTTAATACTTAACAAAAATGGTGAAGACAATGTTTTTGAAACTTTCAATAATTATAATGAGAAGATTAAGTTAATGGTAGAAAATGAAAAAGACAGTTTCATTCATTTTTTAAATTTGACCATTCATAAAGGCAATTATCGATTGTATACAAATTGGTACCAAAAATCATTGAATTCAGGGATGATCTTAATGATCATTTGAAACGCCTCTTTAAACAAAAATGATGAAGGCTGTGAAAGGTATCATTTATAACTCGGTAGATAGATGGTTAAATTTGCTGACCTCGAATGTCACCTACAAAATCTAAAAATTGTAAAAGAGATATAGCAAAATAATAACTACCCTCAAAATATGATTAAGAAATACATTAATAAAAGATTATATTTCTGTAATAAACCTGCAAGCCAGACTAAAACCAGGCCAGACTTTATTTGACCATACATCCCACAATTAACAAATAGATTAACCTGGTGTAAAAATGTATCAAAATGCATGAGTACACTCAATAGAACATACAAGAATATCAACAAAAAAAAAAATAGTTCAGAATGTCAAAGATAAAATTAACAAATTACAAAGAGAAAACATTGTCTACAAAATTTCATGTAAAAATTGTGATCTTAAATATATTGAAAACACTAAAAGGAAACTTGCAACTAGAATGAGAGAACATACAAATATATATATATTTCCCCCAATTTAAGGACAAGTTTTGTTAAAAATACTAAATTTCTCATCCATGTGTGTCATTCTTGCATCAACCAGTAACATTCCATATTATAAATTTTATCCAATGATTTGTGACACATCACTCAGTTCTGCCAATTTTTGTGTATAGTTTAATTATTCATCACTTTTTATATGTTCTTTTTATTTAATTTTTGAAAAATTTAGAAACTAAATAATTTTTTTAAGAACAGTCAGGGGCCTTTGAACATTGGAGGCCCCGGGCCCAGGCCCTTCTGGCCCATGAGTTAATGAGCAACTAAATATCAAATACTTGTAATAACTTAATACTGAGAATTAACACCCAAATGAAAATTACTTTGTCAACTGTACAAATCTCCGCTTGGGATTAATGTAGTATATTAGTAATCATTACCTGCCCCCCATGCCCTCTCCCTCTAGACCTTACCCCCTCCCTCTCCTGGTCTTGCCTCATCAGTGACATGGTACTATTCCCACTTGGTAGTCCAGTTAGCAATGCATTCCTCAGTCACATCGGTAACGAGTCATCTGAGACTGGTCTAATCCGAGATTTATTTTGTGCAATGTTGGAAATGTGTTTTAACCATTTTTTATTTTAATAAGAATTTTTCCTTTTTGACATGGCCAATAGATTGTGTGAACTATTTTGGGGTACATTACATTGTTTCCTTCTCTAGGAGACGCCGCCTTAAAGTAGCACTGATTGTGTGGGCCAGGAGGTTTGTGTGCTCTTATGAAGCTGAGGGCATATAGGGGTAACATTGATGATGGGTTTAAGAATCAATCAACAATGCTAAGAGGCACCCTTGCTAAACAGGTCTCAGCGGAGGAGCCAGAACGACCCGCCAGTACTTCTTCATCACCTCTATCCAAAGTCTGCCTGGTTCTCATGTCCCTCCCCCTCCCCCACCAATGGCAACTAGCCATAAAGGTGGTTCATTTACTAGTGTGACATGGCTATTCTTCCTTTGTGCCATACTTCTTTCTTCTTTCCTATTAGACTGATCTTGGTCTCATGTTTTTCAACCCTGATGATATTAGGTTGCATGGGCTAGGGAGTCATTATTTTCTCCTCTCTTCTTTCCTTATTCTATTCTATACTTTTTTCCTCCTCTTTCTTTCTATTTCTATATGCCCTTCTTCTTTTCCGATTTCAACATGCTGCCTTGCAGGAGGGAGCAGAGCCTCCAAAGGCTAAGGGAAGGAAAACCCTGAAACAAAACCATGGGTAGAGAGGACTCAGAAAGGTGTAGAGCCAACCTCTCTAGGGGAGAAATCCCCAAACAAATCCTGGCCCGCCAGATTGGAGGTTTGACTATAGGCCAACACCCCATTCCTGTAAAAATCAAAAACATTTTAAAAGCTCTAAGCAGCGTTTAAACAGACCCAATCAAAGATGACTTAAGCAGCGAAATCGGACAATGCAAATGGCAACATGGATCATACAGGATATTAGCAAAAAGTATGAAGGAGTATTCAGTCAATTGGAAAAGTTAAATATAGACATTTGTTCATTAATGGAAACTAAGAAGAAAAAGGAATTGACAACTAAAGCAAATATATCCATATCTAATAGGGAGTATCTAATATGGAGCATCAGTAGCAATCCACAAAAAATATAGGAAAAATATAAGAACCTGGAATGAGATCAATGAGAGACTGCTATCAGTGGAGTTAGATATATTTGGTCACACTATGGCCATTGTAACTGCATATGCTCCAACTGAAGATGCAACGGAATCTTTAAAAGATTCTTTTGAGAATGAATTAGTGGCAATATTAGAAGACATTCCTTCAAGTTAGGAAATTCTAATAATGGGTGACTTAAATGCCTGAACGGGAAGTAAACAGAATAATATAGTGGTTAACTATGGAGAAAAGTATGTAATAAAAAATGAAGAGAGATTAATACATTTATGTAGTCAGATGTATCATAAAATCATGAATGGGTTCTACAGACACAAAGATATCCTTAATTATATGTGGGCACAACCTACCAGAAATATTAAGTCAATAATTGATTATGTGATATTAAGACAGAGAACTCATCTGAAATGCCAAGACATAAGTGTATTAAGAGGAGCAGAATGTGCTAGTGACTGCTATTTAGTTAGAGCTCTTATATATATTTTTCAAAAACCTATCTTCCAAAGGATCAAACTACCAGAAACTCATGCTCCATGAAAGAAAAAACATATTGGTTGAATGAAGATTTGAAGCAAATGATTGAAGGGAAGAAAGTGAGATATAAAAAATGGCTAAGCTCAGGAGACCCCAAAGAGAGAACAGCATATAGAAATATCAATAGAAGGGTTAAAAGAGTGGTAACAAGAGCTAAGACACAGGCTTGGGAAACAAAATGCTTTGAAATAAATAGGTTAATGGGACGCAATAAGTCTAGAGAGGCATGGGAATTAATAAAAGAATTAAAAACAGGGTGTGTCAAGTAAATAGCTGAATGTCACCAAATCAATATTAAAGCCACGTGGGCAGCATACTCTTCAAGAACTACTGAGAGATAGAACAGAATACAATTTATCATTATAATGGCAAATTTAATGTACAAAAAACAGAGATTGACTAAATAACTCTAAAGAATTAAAAGAATAATCTGAAGAGGGAATGAAAAATAATAAATCCAGGACAGAGGGATATCGAATTAACTGTTAAAACAATTTTCCCAGATCATTGAAAGAAT